GGGCCTCCTGGGGGCCTCCTGGCGGCCTCTTGGGGCGGAAGGCTCGAGCTTGCGGTTCGTGGTCCCCCTCTGGGCCCCCTCTTGGGCCCGTCTTGGGGCCCTCTTGGGCCATCTTGGGCGCCTCTTGGGCCGTCTTGGGGCCCTCTTGGGCTGTCCTGGGGCCCTCTGGGAAGCTTCTTGGGCCGTCTTGGGGCGGTCTTGGGCGCCTCTTGGGCCGTCCTGTAACGTCGGAAAGCCCAAAAGGCGACTTTGTTAAAACTGCACGTTTTACGAAGGGAATGGGCCAATTCTTGCGTCTAGGGGCCCTCTTGGGACACATGTTGGAGGCTTCTTGGAGCCTCTTGGGGGCGTCCTTGGACGTCTGGGGTCTCCCGGGGCCTCTTGAGGGGCCTCCTGGGGGCCTCCTGGCGGCCTCTTGGGGCGGAAGGCTCGAGCTTGCGGTTCGTGGTCCTCCTCTGGGCCCCCTCTTGGGCCCGTCTTGGGGCCCTCTTGGGCCATCTTGGGCGCCTCTTGGGCCGTCTTGGGGCCCTCTTGGGCTGTCCTGGGGCCCTCTGGGAAGCTTCTTGGGCCGTCTTGGGGCGGTCTTGGGCGCCTCTTGGGCCGTCCTGTAACGTCGGAAAGCCCAAAAGACAACTTTGTTGAAAATGTACGTTTTACGAAGGGAATGGGCCAATTTTTGCGTCTAGGGGCCCTCTTGGGACGCATGTTGGAGGCTTCTTGGGGCCTCTTGGGGGCGTCCTTGGACGTCTGGAGGCCATCTTCAGCATCTCGGAGCCTTCTTGGAGGCCTCTTGGAAGTTTCTTGGGCCGTCTTGGGCGCTTCTTGGGCCGTCTTGCCTGACTGGGGAGGCCTCCGGCAAGCCCCGACGAGCCTCCGGGCCCCCCGGGGTGCACATTTGCGGTCGGGGTCCCGGCCCCGGGCCCCCGGACCCGGCGCGCCGATATATGTATATGTGTACACTAGAACCATCGCGCGCGCTTCGCGCGCGCTCAAGTTCTAGCAGGCCCCGCGCCTTCTCGAATTCACTGCTCCACTGAAGTAGTGGACCGCAGTCCACGCATGCCAATCTGCATTCCGAAAGGCCTTCGAGGAAAATGGTTGCGTAGGGGGCGGAGGCTGTATGAATCGGGTTCTTGGGGAGCCAGTTGGGGCGTGCCGTCGTCGTCGTCGTCGTCGTCGTAATGCCGTCGTCGCCTATTGGGGCGCGCCGTCGTCGTCGTCGTCGTCGCCGTCGCCGTCGCCGTCGCCGTCGTCGTCGTCGTCGTCGTCGTCGTCGTCGTCGTCGTCGTCGTCGTCGTCGTCGTCGTCGTCGTCGTCGTCGTCGTCTCGTCGTCGTCGTCGTCGTCGTCGTCGCTTACTCATCAAACGATGAGAGTTTGAACTCACTAACCGCCTTCATCATAGACACCCCCGGCTTGGAGAAAGCCTGCGCACGCACCGGGTCATCTTTAAGCAAGGCGCTCACTTTGCTCGGCCCCATGCGCTTGAGCAGGTCCTGCATCTTGTGCTTCTTCTTCTGGACCGCACCCTCCCCGAGGTTCTTCCCCACCGCCTCATTCGCGGCGGCGAGCAGGGCAGCCACGAATTCCGCATTGTAGCTGACGCTGTAAGCCATTGCTGCACCTTCCTCGGGCCCGGGTTCTCGAGCGCAGGGGCGTTGCTTGGTGATTGCCGAGTTGCTTTGAACCAGAATGGTTACGGAATGCAAATCCGTGAGGCTCGAAGAGCCGACATCGAAGGATCAAAAAGCAACGTCGCTATGGACGCTTGGCTGCCACAAGCCGGGAATCCCATATGGGTATTTTATGGGGTGGGCTGGTGGGTTCTCTGGTGACGCGCCCACAGCGCGGCACTCTTTAGCACGCACGTCATGCTACTTGGGTCAACTTTGTGCGAAACGACATGAGGAGGGCCGCGAGAAGGCGATAAGTCATGTTCCCAATCAACTTCCCAGACAGCTCTCCTGTAACATGATGGTACTTCGATGCCTCCGGAGACTCGCGGGCCCATGATGAACCATGTCCCCGGAAGACTTTCTGGGGACATGGTTTGTTGGGGTGTGTTGGGGGTCTCTTGGGCGTTCCCTGGGGGCCCCTTGAACCTCCGGGAACTCTCGGGCCCATGATGAACAATATCCCTAGAAGGTTTTCTGGGGACATGATTTCTTGGGGTGTGTTGGGGGGCCTCTTGGGCGTTCCCTGGGAGCCCCTTGTGGGTCTCTTGGGGCTTCCTGGGGGCCTCTTGGGCGCCTCACGGGGCTTCGTGGGAGCCTCTTGGTGGCATCCGAGGGCCTACAGGCGGCTTCTAGGGCCAGAGACCTCGAAGTATCGGTTGGCGGTCCCCCTCTGGGCCCTCTCTTTGGGAGCTCTTGGGGCACAGTTGGGTTGTCTGGGGAGCCTCCTGCTTGGGGCCCTCCTCGGGGCCTCGTGGCCCGTCTTGGAGCGATCTGAAGGGCCTCCGAGCGAGGCCGTGAGGGAGCGCTGGGAAGCGGGAAAAGCGAGAACGCCAAAATCCTGCAAAAACCATGAGAACATTAGTGAATCTTGCCTCCCAGGGCCCTCTTGGGGAGCCTCTTGAGTCCGTCCTGGAGCGTGTTGGAGTCCTCGTCGGCCGTCTCGAAGGCAGCTTGAGCGTCTTCGGGGCCTCTTGGGACCGTCTAGGGCCCTCTCGGGACCTCCATTAGCCTGTCGTGGCCTGCTTCGGGGCGGGCCCGGGCCGCCTCGGGACCCCTCTGGGCCTTCTCTTGGCGCGCTCTTGGGGCACACTTGGGTTGTCTGGGGAGCATCCTGGGCCGTCTTGGGGCCCTCGTCGGGGCCTCGTGGGCCTTCTTGGAGCGATCTGAAAGGCCTCTAAGGCCGTGAGGGAGCGCTGGAAAGCGGGAAAAGCGAGAACGCCAAAATCCAAAACACTCCGAAAACAGGTGAATCTTGCCTTCCAGGGCCCTCTTGGGGAGCCTCTTGAGTCCTTCCTGGAGCGTGTTGGAGTCCTCGTCGGCTGTCTTGAAGGCATCTTGGGCGTCTTCGGGGCCTCGTGGGACCGTCTTGGGCACTCTCGGGACCCCCTTAGCCTGTCGTGGCCTGCTTCGGGGCGGGCTCGGGCCGCCTCGGGAGCTCTGGACCACCCCCCGCAACCCCTGGTGGGCACCGATGGGAGGAACAGGCAACGGCCCGCCCCCCCCCCCGCCTACTCCGAGATAGGGAATCATGTTCCCGGGAAGCTTTCCGGGAGCATGATTTGTTCGGCTCTCTAAGAGAGGGGCCTCTGGGGCTTACCAAGGGGCGCCTTTTGGCCTTGTCGGCAAACTTACTGGAAACATGGTTGGGGCGGTGGGCAGAAACCCAAGGAATCATGTTCCCGGAAAGCTATCTGGGAAATACGATTTACCGAAGTGTATTGGGGGCCCGCAGGGGGCTTCCCTGGGGGTCCCTTGCGGCCTATTGGGGCTTCTGAGGGGCCTCTTGGGAGCCTCACGGCGCTTCTTGGGAGCCTCTTGATGGCCTCCGGGGGCGTCCTAGGAGCCTCTCAGGCCAGAGACCTCGAAATGTCGCGCTCTTCGGGCCCTCTTGGGTCGCTCTTGGGGCTCTCTTGGGGCGCTCTCGAGGCCCTCTTGACTTATCTGGGGAGCCTCCTGGGCCGTCTCTGGGCTTTCTTGGGAGCCTCTTCGGCCGTCTTGGAGCGATCTGAAGGGCCTCTGACGCGGTCCGGGACCGTGGGGAGGCGGAACATGGGAGAGCGCAAGAATGCTTCAATGGATGATTTTCGGCTTCTGGGGCCCTTTGGAGGGGCCTCTGGAAGTGCTCTTGGGGCGTTTTGGCGGCGTCGTCGGCCGTCCTGAGACCATCTTAGGCGTGTCAGGGGCCTCTTGGGGCTGTCTCTGTCTTTGGGCGTCCTGGGAGCCCGGAAATCATGTTCCCGGAGAGGCTTCCGGGAACATGATTTCGAACGAGGCTCTCTTGGGCCTCCCTGGGCCCTCTTGGGTCTCTCTTGGGCTGGCTTGGGGCTCCTCGGGGGCGTCTGGGGCACTGCGAAGACGAAGCAAGGGAGTATGCTGAAAATGCACGTTTTACGATCGGAATGGGCTGATTTTTGTCTCTTGAAGGCCCTCTTGGGGCCCTCTTCGGCCATCTTCAAGCCATCTCGGGCCCTCTTGGGCCTCGTTGAGGCTGTCTTGGGGCCCTCTTGGGCGTCCTGGGAGCCCGGAAGTCATGTTCCCGGAGAGGCTTCTGGGAACATGATTTCGAGCGAGGCTCTCTTGGGCCTCCCTGAGGCCGTCTTGGGGGCCTCCTGGGCCGGCTTTGGGGCCTCGTGGGCCGTCTCGGGGGGTTTCGTGAGCCCCACGGGACGATCTTTTCGGGCCGTCTTGGGCCCACTTGGGTCTCTCTTGGGCTGTCTTGGGGCTCCACGGGGGCGTCTGGGGCACTGCGAAGACGAAGCAAGCGAGTATGCTGACCAGTGAAAACCGGGAAGAACGGGCCGCAGAGGCAAGGACGCAAGGGAACCCTAAGGACATCTGTGCGTCTGCACTATGAGTTTTTACAATCGACCATCGGACAGAAGAGCATCCACCAAAAACATGAGACCCTCCGCCAGCCCAAACTGAAGAACCTTCGAGGGTGCCCTCCCCCAGGATGCACAAGAAAATCCAACAAGCACGGAAAACATTAGGGCACCCTTCCCAAGCCGACCTCGATCTTACACCTGGGTCCGACCATACTGTGAGCGCTGAGCTGCAAGGAAATCGCAGGCCTACACGGCCAGACGCCGGCGACGACGACGACGGCGTCGACGACCACGACGACCGCGACGACGACCACGACGACCGCGACGACGACCAGAGACAACCGACGACGACGACGACGACGACGACGACGACAGCGACGACGACGACGACGACGACGACGACGACGACGACGACGACGACGACCGACGGCGGCGGCGGCGGCGGCGGCGGCAAGCTAGGCCAGGCGGGGCCCGCGCGCGAAGCGGCAGCGGGGCGCCGCCTCCGCCTGGAGCCGTGCCGCTGCGCCAGCCACTTCACCCTGCGGCCGCCCGTCCGCCCACACCGCCCGGCACGCGGTCGTCGTCGTGGAGGTCGTCGTCGTCGAATATCGCTGGTCTCTGGAGCCGGGTTCCTGGGGCTCTCGCCTCGACGTCGGAATCATTCTCTTCGAAATCGGGCGGCGGCGGCGGCCGCGGCGACGGCGACAGCGGAGGGCCGACGGCGGCGGCCGCGGCGCTGCGACGGCAGTGGCGGGGGTCATTGCCTGACAGGCGCCATGGGCGCCGCGCTGGCAAGGATGCCCTCCGCCCGACGAAGAGGCAGGACTGAGGGTTCACTGGAGGAAGAGGAGGAGGACGACGACGAGGATGGAAGCAGAGAGTGAGGGAGAAATGAGGAAAGGAAGAAGAGGGGGAGGGGGAGGGGGAGGAGGAGGAGGAGGAGGAGGAGGAGGAGGAGGAGGAGGAGGAGGAGGAGGGAGGAAGCACATGATGAGGGATACATTGGAGAGGAAGGGCGAGACGAAGCTAAGTCACGTAACTTAGAGGCATTTGCCCCGCGATGTGCGAAGCACGATTCATCTTCGCGCCCTCACGTCGCCCCTTTTGGAGAACAGCAACCGCTGTGGCCCAGGTCGTAGCGCGCGAAGCGCGGTCATATCGGCGCCCCCGCGGGCGACCTTGGAGATTGAGGAGCGGGGGAAGGGATGCGGCACTGCTCACAAGCCTTTTGCAACCCAACGACACTGCATGCGCGACCCAAACACCCAACGTCACGACTCGTTCGTGGCGTCGGCCCCCATAGATGAGGGGGGTCTCTATATATTGAACTACATACTGGGGAAAAACGACAACCGAACGGATTTTCCTGAATACTGAAGTCCCTTTGTGATCGACAAACAACGCGACATCAAGAAACATACCCACCGTTCTCGAACAACGACAAACAAAGTCGCATTTCGACGTGAACTACCCTGCTCAAGCGACGAACAACACATCAAATAACCTCTAAATACTATTTTTCGGAATGAACAAATAACTGGAGAACATAATAACACTTCTACGCAAACCTGCGAACTTTAAATGAATAGATTCCTGAACGAATCCGCGCAAACAAAAACATTCCACAACTCCTGAAACGAATCGGGGCCAATGGGGCCCCACGCGCCCACGCCGCGCATTCGTTTCGAAATGTTCGTGCTTTTACCTCTTGGATTCGGTCTCCAAGCCAGGACCGGCAGACGAAAAAAATGAAATGCAAAAAATCCCCAATCCAGAGAACCGGTTTAAAAACCATTTGTTTTCCAATAGGAACAGGGGCCGATGGGCCCCACACGCATTCCTTCCGAAATGTTGGCATTGTATCTCTTGGATTTTGTTTTGTCTCTGAGACGGGATCGCAAGACGAAAACAAAAAGATTTGCGAAAATCCCCAATCCAGAGAACCGGTCAAAAAGCCATTGGTTTTCCAGAAAGAATCGGGGCCGATGGGGCCCCACGCGCATTCCTTCCCGAATGTGGGTGCTTTACCCCAAGTGAAGTGGTGAACGCGACGAACGACGACATGAATCTGGATGACTTACTCACTAGCGCCGCGCGGCGGACGAACGACGGGGGGAACCTGGCACTACTTACCAACTTGTAGCCGGTCAAACCCCTCTCATCCCCATAGACATGTCGACCCCATCCTCAGGGCCAACTCTTCAATCCGATTCGTCTATTGACGGCCCCATGGGGGGCCCGAAGCATAAATCGAATGCGGCCGCGAGCAACCTCTGCCAGATCCGGAATGCGAAGTCACCGCACGAAGAAGCCCGAGGCACCCTCACGAAGAGCACCCGGCGTCTTGATGCGAGTCCTACTGGACCCACAGGGGCCCGATTCAGGTAATCGGGGGCGTCCAAGAGGGAGGTTCGCAAATCGTGGCCAGAGGCTTGTGCGCGGACGAATGGGGGCCAATGGGCGTGTTGAAAGAAGAATGACAGTACTGATGATAACGGAAAAATGTTAATACAGAAGAGAAGAACAATACGATCCAGAACGAATAATAGGCATAACAATAGGCTTAACATTATGATAAAAATAATACTGATAACAGTAGCGCTGGATGAATACAATAATCACAATCATACTTCGGATACTAGTAATAAACAGATACGCATAATACTAAGAATACTAAATGATAATGATACCGGGAACCAAAAACAATCCACAGATTTCTGGGCTATATGGCTATGAGGCTATAGGGTTATACGACCATAGGGCAATAGGTCTATAGGGCTGTAGGGCTATAGGACTATAGGCATATAGAGCTATGGGCTTATAGGGCTATAGAGCTATAAGGGCTATAGGGCTATAGAGCTATCAGGCCATAAGGCTACAGGGCTATAGGGCTATAAGGGCTATAGGGCTATAGGGCTATTAGGGCTATCAGGGCTATAGGGCTATGGGGCTATAGGGCTATAGGGCCATAGGGCTATAGGGCTATAGGGCTGTAGGGCTATAAGGCTTTAGGGCTATAAGGCTATAGGGCTATAGGGCCATAGGGCTATAGAGTACCCGGGCACCCCTGGGCACCTCCAAGCATCCCTGGGCACCTCCGGTCCCCCCAAAAAAACCGGGCACCCGGGCACCCCCGGGCACCCGGGCAACCGGGCACCCAGTCCGGCCACCGAAATCGGCGGCCCAGCTCACCTAACCATATGAATCCGCTAGGACCCCTTCAGAGGCAAGCTCTGATTGGGGAAGGATAGTGACGATGCTAATAACGATGAAACTGTTCACGTAATTCTGATGGAACTAATAATAACAACACTAATTATTATAATAATACTCACAATAAGGACACTGATGCTGATAATACTAGTGATGCGAATACGCATACTAGCAATCATACGAATCATAACCAAGAGCGTAGTAAACGTAATCAGCCGAATCATCCGATTACTAATAAGAAAAATATATAACAATAAGAAGAAGACGAACAAGAAAAAGAAGGAGAAAACGAGTGGCCACGAAATCCAGGGATACATCGTGGCCCTGGCCATGATGTCCAGCCCCCCCCTAGTCACCACCCCCGTCTCCTCTTCGACGCCCGATGGTTTTGTGAACCGTCATTCGGGCCTCCAGCGGCCGCTCGGAGCGACCCGGGCACCCCCGCAAGGGCTTTGGCGCGGCGCAGCTGCTGGAGCGCGCCCTGGACCACCGACAGCCCACCAAGAAACGCTCAAAAACCGCCCAAAGCGCCCCCTGCCCCCGAAAGGAGCGGCCGTCACGATTCTTGCGCGCACGGTTCGGATAGGAGGCCGACCACGGAAACGACATCGAAACTTGCAAAAACGAATACGTCGCACCTCTGCAGATCCAAAACATTCCACGTATGATTGGACGACAAACCCATTTTGGGGAACATCAGTTCTGCACAATCAGAACGTATTATAAGGACGGGTGGTAAGGGTGCAGCACCCTTGGGGGCCGAAATTTGAATTTTGGGGGCGGCGGGCGACCACCGAAAACGGCACAGGCCGGGTCGCCGAGGCAAAACCACAAGGGCACCCTAGATGAAGGCCCGCGTCCTTCCTAGGCACGTCGACTGCAGTCAATCGCCTGTGTACTCGAACGGTTAATGGACCTGTTTTCCACCACCACCACCATAGGTTGGATGGGGGGGAGGAGGAGGAGGAGAACGACGAGGAGGAGGACGACGACGAGGAGGAGGAGGTGGAGGTGGAGGTGGAGGAGGAGGAGGAGGAGGAGGAGGAGGACTCCCTCAACGGCGGTGGTGGAAAACAAGCCCATCAACGGTGGCAGCGTCGGTGCGCCGTGGACATCCCCACCGGCCCCGCCCTTCGAGGGTGTTCCACGGCAGCTGTTCCTCCTGGCGTGGGGCGGC